TCCTCTAGGAAACCAAAAATTCAAAAAAAAAAAAAAAAAAGTTAGTGGCTTGTAATTTTTCCATGCAGAAAACATTCCCTCCAGGCCTCAAAGAACATGAGTGGCTAATTTGTGGCATTCCAAGGAACCCACATACCTAAAGGGAATCAACTTCTGAGAGAGGTCAAACGCCAGGTACCTGCACCTGAGACTTCTTAAGTACCCACTCATTAAAGAAACATGGGATCAGGGGGCTCTGCTGTAAGCCACCAGTGTCAGCAAAGATGGCACCACACCCCAATCATTGGTAAGGGTCTCTAGCAGTACAAACTAACTTCAACAGCAGTGCAAACTAACTCCAACCCAGCCCCAAAGAATTCGCCAGACATAAGCAAAGTTTCAATAATCTCATTCTTTAAATTTACTTTACCTTAAAGCCAGCTTGTTTAAGAAACTGGCCAAGTTTACTGGTAACTTCTTGAAATCTCTCCTGTTGCCAATTAACCTAAAATTAAAAAGTGATCTTGAGAAAAATAGTGCATTTTGGCATATTTTGCTATACAACTTCCATTACACTCTTACATTGTACTCTGCCTAAAGAATAAGACGTTCACAGTGCTCATCTTATATGCTGGAGAAAGACTGCACAGATCACACTATGAAAGAAGTGAACTGAGGGCCAACAGGACTGGAACAAAATTGTAAGACTAAGTTTGCAAGGCCTACATTTGTTAATCTGCAGTTTGTGTAATAGACACTTTCATGAACAAGTCCCCAGATTTGGGGTTGGGTTTTCTGGCATCAAAGTACAACAAAATTCAGATTCAACAATCGTGCCTCTTCAAAAATCAAAATATTCAATATATAATTCTAAATTGTAACATTTTAATACAAAGCACATGTTTGAGCAAATGCAGTAGCATGCCTCACAAGTAACCCTTGACAGAAATCAGGTAACTTCAACTATCATTAGGGAAACAAGTGAGGCAAAACATTTATGGCTGAACATTTACTCCAGTAAGTTTTAGAGGGGTTACTTACAAAGTATTTCAGGAGGACTTTCAAAATCGAGTGGAGTCCACTCTGTTTTTGAGAATCTCCCGACTGATATGTTGAGTTATAGACTTTAGAAGAATATTCTTGCCTTTCTGAACATAAACATCATAAAAACTAGACACTGGGTGGGAAAACCTTATAAGGAGGGCCCAATCCTATTGGAAAAGTAATACAGATCCTCTGAATTAAGGGCTCATGATAAGGAATGTAAGATGTTGCACCATTTAAAACCTTTAAGCATGTACCTGGTCCATTTTATTGACTGCAACAGCCAGTTGTGTTACTCCAAGAGAACGAACCAATAACCCATGTTCTCGAGTCTGTCCACCAGTCTCAAACCCTGCTTCAAACTCTCCTCTGCTGGCATCCACAACCAAGATTGCCACATCAGCCTAAGTAAAAGGAAAAAAAAGGTTCAGAGAGCAAATTCCATAAGCTGAATATATTAAGAATAA